CACCAACCCCCGCCCCACCCCCACACAATCCATCTTCCCCGACCTTCCACAACCGCGTCCGCGCCCCCTCTGGTAATTGGGCGCAGATCTGACGGCGTTCCAGCTGCGGGACGTACTGCTGGCGCTGGACCCGCTGGACAGGGACTGGGTGGCGCGCGTCAACGCGGCAGAGGCCGAGTTCTGGCGCAGGTCCGCGCGCCCGGACACCGATTCAGCACGCGAAGACGCGCCCGCGTGCGCGCGGCTGTAGACGCGGCGCGCCGAGCCGGCCGCGCCGGCGGGTGCCCTCGCGTGGCAGACCCCTTCGAGACGGGCGGGGCACAAAGGGGCTGGCTGCGCGGCCAGTCTGGAGCCGTCCCCGGCCTTTTGCCTCTTCTCCTCCCCTTCACCCACGCGCGCGCTGCCGGCGGGCGCCTTGCTCGAATTATTGCCGCGGGTGCTGCCACATCGAACATGATCCCGCAGCCGCCCCAGCTGCCCTGCTCGGCTGCGGGCCAAGTCTTCAGGCGCCAAGCTGACGGCAATAATTTGCAATTTTTGGTTCTTTCTTCCCCTCCCTCCAGGAGCGCCGGCACCCGCGTGGGGCTGGCTGATGAGATCCTCGGGTTCGACTGCGGCGGGCAGCAGTGGGTGCTGGAGGTCGCCTTCCCAGTCGGCCGCCTATCTCGCATCGGCGGCTGGGGCGCCGGACCGCCAAAGTGGGTGGCGCCAGCCCGTCTACGCCGCTCAAGGGAGGGGGGGAAGGGGAAGAGCCTCGGGCTGCACTTGTGCGCCGTAATCCGTGCCGCTGTTGACCTGCGCACCTCGCCGTTGAAACCAGACTGCCTTCCCCCTGGGCCCGCCCGCGGAAACCGCAGGGACATATCCTACATGAAGGATCTCCTGGAAGAGATCAGGAGATCCGAGATCGCCGCGCCCTGCCCGATCGAGCAGCGGTGGACGGCGGCCAGCAGCAGCCCCATGAGCCCCGCGGCCGCCACGTGTGTAGCGCCGCCCCCGCGAGCGATCGGCTTCTGTCGTTTTGGGTGGCTCCGGGCGCGCGGGTCGACTGCAACTGCACGCATGCGGGGCTAAAGCGCGCTTGCCTGGCGAACCGCCCCTTCGTCGCTGCTCGCCCCGCGCCCGCCGCTTGCGGACCCCAGCCCCCACACTTTTCGCATTCACCAACACCCCCCGGCCTCTTCCCCCACTGATCGCACACAAACATGATCGTGTACATGTGTGTATTTACTCAGCCCCGGCGGGGGTGCGGATGAGGTGCACAGCTGGGTGGGCGTCATTATGTACTTACCAACAGACGACGAGAGCCAACGCGCCAAAATCACCGCCGCGTGAGTGGCAGCCGCGCGATCGCGCGTGCGCCCCCGCGCTCCTTGGTTGCCGCCCCCGTTATCTCGGGCTGTGGCGCTCGCGGCGGGGTCGGCCGCCGCTGCTCTGCTGCGTCGCTCGCGGGCCGCCTGTCGGGCCCGATGGAACCATGCTGCGGCCCCCCGCTTGCCCTCAACCTCAACCCACAACACACGCCCCTCGCGGCGTCGCCGCAGACCCCTGCAGTTCACCGATGCACGCCTGCAACCCCTTGCCGCGCCCGGCCCGGCCGCCCCGTACCGCCCGCCCCCGCAGATTCAAGCGGTACGCGGCCCTGGTCGAGGACCGCCTGATGCCGCGGTACGGCGCCAGCTGGCACTGGGCCAAGATCGAGCCGCCGACCGACGGCGGCGACGCGGCGGCCGCCGCGGCGCGGCTGGCGCACATGCAGGCGGCGCTGGCGGCGAGGTTCCCTCTGGACGAGCTTAATGCGGCGCGGGCGCGGCTCGACCCGAAGAATATCCTGGCCAACAACATGTTCGACACCCTGCTGGGACGGCCGGGCGGCGCGGCCCAGGCGGCGGCGGCGGCGGTGGCGAAGCCGTGATGGGCGGGTGGGTGGTGCACCCGCCGTCTTGCCGGCTGGTGTCGGGTGTTTGGACGCGCGCTCGCTCGAGGCGTTGCGGGCGGGGTTGCGTGTGCTGCAACGGGTTGGCGCCGCGGCTGCTTTTCAAGTTGATATGTAAATGGTGCGTGCTGCCCTCTTCCCGGTGCATAAGTGATGCCATCCACAATTGGCAGGGCATGAGCCTAGACTCATGCAATGCCATGAAGAGCTGCGCAGCGGGCGGGCGAGCGGACGGGTGCAGAGGGTCTGCGGTGGCTGGTGGGCCCTGGAATGGGCAGCAATGTGCGTGTGGCGCGCCGCGCCGCGTGCCACGCCTGGCCTCGGCAAGGCCATCACCAAGGATCACTGGTGGGTAACAGCTCGAGCTGCAACACTGAGTGACGTTTCACAGTTGTTGACTCGTTCGCCCCTGCGAGCGTGACTGTTGTGGGTAGGCTAAAGCTGCAGACGCTGCCACAGTATTGTGAGACCTTCCTACACTGCTACATTGCATCCCGTAATCGAGCAGACGGTGAGCGCCAAGGTTCCGACTTCCTACAAAACAGCTCAGCACGGGTTCGGGTGGCGACGCAGATGGGATCTCTTACTAGCAGCTAGGCCTGGCAAGGCGAAGGAGATGCAGGGGCTGGACGAGGACTTGTCAAGCCTGGGCCTTGACGGTGAGCACGCTGACATGGCTCGGGGGCCGAAACCGGTGTATAAAAGCGGATTGTTCGAGACTCTTTTGTCGGGATCGTACCAGAGCGGGGACGGGGCTCGCGGTTTGCTTTCATCACTATGTGTTGTAGTCGGTCTGCTGGAGGGTGAGCGCTGCGCTGAGCGCTGCTGGGGCGATCAGCAGCAAGTGTAGAGGCTCTGACTTATATTTGTAGCCGATCAGTGCTGGTTTTTGGATCAAAGGCGAGGAATGGGTGTCACCCCTGATCATCAAACTGGAGGCGGAGACAAACCGTAACGGGGTTCAGGGCCTTCAAAACCCACGGTAACCCTTATTGACTCTAGATCACGGCTGCTGTCGCGGTCTACACGCCGCGGTAGAACGGCGCGACGCCCAGCAATGGTGCATGCCTGCCGCCATCTCCCCGCCAACAACTCCCCATCGCAGGGCGGCGTGCCAGCCACTCATCCGGTCCTGCACACAGCAACCTCTATGTGAACAACCTGCCGCATGGTGCCACGGAGCAACAGGTATGCCATTGTACCACTGATGGCACCCAAACACCTGCAGCTCTGGTTGCTGGCCTGCCCCAGCACCTGATCTCTCCGCCTCAATGCTGCAGTGTCATCGAGCCCAAGCGCACGCACATCATTTGCGCCCCAATGCCACAGGTTGAGTCCCTATTTCGGTCTTATGGGGACGTCGTGTCCACGCGCCTCGTGCGTGCGTCGCGGCTGGGCGGCGCCACCAAGACTTTCGCCTTTGTGAAGCTGGGAGACGTGCAGGTGCGCCACCAACAGGCTGCGCTGCAGCAGGGATTTTATGTCCAGCCCACGCACTGTGTGCGCACTGCTCTCTTCTCCGCCTCCTCCTTCACCTCGCCCCCACCTGTCACGCCGCACCCGCAGCAAGCGATGGCAGCCATACGGGCGCTCAACCAGACGCCGTGCGGCGGCCTTGGGCTGTTAGAGGTCAAATTTGCGGACGCTGACGCCGGCGACCGCAACCCCGAGCTGCGGGCGCCGCCCAGCGATAACGTCTACGCCAAGAACCTGCCGGGCAGCTACTCGGAAGACGACCTGCGGGCACTGTTCGCGCAATATGGGGACGTTCTGGAGAGCAAACTGCTGCATCGTGGGGACACCACACAGGAGCGCGGGTGCATGCGGGTCCATTTGGCTTGCATGCGGCTGCATGCTTGCATGAGGCCGCAAACGGCCGCATGCAGCAGCGCGGAGGCCGCATGCAGCCGCGTGCGGCTTGCATGCAGCTGCATGCGGCTTTTGGCAAGCCGCATGCAGATGTGCGGCTTGCATGCTGGCTGCGCCCAAGCCGCATTTCAGCCGCATGCAGACTCAAGGCAGGGACGTGCGAGCGCATGCGCTGTAGTCGCCGGCACAGATTGCCGGCACGCTCGCTTGCATGCCGGCCGGCCGGCGGCAGTTGGCGCCGTTGCGGGCATCCTGTGCGCGCTGACCGCACGGCCAGCGTCGACATTGTCCGCGCCTGGGAGGTCCTGATATCCAATGCCTCTTGACTGACTGTTGTCGGCCCCTGCCTGCACTCGCCGCCGCCCCTGCAGGGCGCAGGCGCGCTGGTGCGGCTCGGCTCGGTGGCGGACGCGCAGCGCGCCATCGCGGCGCTGCACAACCAGCGGCTGCCAGACTCCAAGGCGCCGCTGGTGGTGCGCTTCGCCGACAGTGCCGACCACAAAGCCAAAAAGGCCGCTCGGATGGGCCGCGCCTACAACCGCTGGGCCGCCTCCGTCGGCGCCGGCGGCGGCGGCGGCGGCGCCGACCGGGGGCGGCGGCCCAGCAACCTGGCAAGGTACGCCAGCGGCAGTGTCGGGAGCGGCAGCGACTTGGGGGAGGTGCTCGGCGGCGCCGTGCCCGGCTTCGGCGGCGGGGGCTTCGGCGTGCGCGAGCGGGACAGCAGCATCTACATCAAGTATCTTCCGGAGGAGGTGAGGTTTCCGGGAATGGGGGCAAGCGACGCGGGGGAGCGGCAGGAGCAACGGCACCGGGGGTGCGGCAAGCGGGGACGCTTTGGTGCGTCATGAAAGTGGTGTTGCTCACGGATGTTGCCGCGTCGCGGTGCGCAATCAAGGCTGGCACCCCCCTTTTCCCTTCCCCTGCTCATCATATGTGAATTGGCTCCAGACCGACAAGCTCTTTCTGTATGAGAAGTTTGCTCCCTTCGGCGCGGTGCACAGCGTCAAGGTGTGGAGGGGCCCAGGGCGCTCCTCACCGCGGCAGACTTTGGGCGGCCGCCGCTGCCGCTGCGCACCGTGCCACACGCGCCTGCATGCACCCACGCCGGCCCCGCCGGCAGCGCGCGCGCCGCTGCTCCTGCCAACAAAGCTTGACCAGACCCGCGCGCATGCATGACCCGAGCCCCTGCCGCGACGTTCGAACGCCGCGCTTCCGCTGGCGCCCCTGTTGCCGACCCACCCAACTCCACTCCCAAAACCCCTCCAGGTCATGCAAGACGAGGCGACTGGCCTCTGCAAGGGCGTCGGCTTCGTGAACTATCTTGAGGCAGAGGCGGCGCTGCGCGCTGTGCGTGCTATGAACAATTGCCTGGTCGGCAGCAGGCGCCTCCACGTGAC